TGCAGGCAAGTGCTCTACCCCTGAGCCACAACCAGAGCCCTGAAAGCTTTTCTTTGAGCTTTGAACCACCAAAAGTTTGCTCTCATAATTCTAGTCCACATTGTACTGAGACCTTAACCAGTGGCATAAGGCAAGAATAAAGGGTCTAAGGTTTATACAAGAAGAAATAAAACTGTCATTAGTCACAGATAAAATAGAAAATCCAATAGATACAGATAAATTATTAGAATCAGTAAAAACATTAAGTAATGTTGCTAAATACAAAGTAAATACAAGTCAATTTCCTTTTTATTAAAAAATCTTTAGTTGTAGATAGACATAATATCTTTATTATTACGTGGTGCTGAGAATTGAACCCAGTGCCTCACATGTCTCGAGGCAAGTGCTCCACCACTGAGCTATAACCCCAATTTTATACTAGCAAAAGGGAGTTAGGAAATGAAAGTTCAAAAAGGCACTATTTACAATCAACAAGAAATATCAAATACCCAGGAATATATTGAAAAACCAGCCTCTACCTCAGAGCAAAGCCTGTCCAAGGAAGGGGGCGTGATCCTTGTCCTTGGAAAGACAAGGAAAATTGGAAGAGAGTCAAGAGATTAGATTTTTTGTTCCATTGGCCCAAGTTAGGTTAAATACCCAACCCTGTTCCAATGACTGGTTCTGGAAACTGGAATAATGCTGTCATTTTAGATAGTGCTATATGGCTCATCCTAGAGCCTAGGCTAGCATTTGCTTCCCCTAAATCACAGGAGCTCTATAGGGGAGATAAAGCAATCCAAAGGAAGATCAGATGCTGGAGAGGCAAATAGGATGTCCTCTTCTTAAACCCTTAGCCACTTCTTAGAGATAAATATTGGTGAATATTACCCATATACCTTTTTTTCTGGGATAAAATTGAGACTTTAATATGTAGCATCATTGTCCAATAAGGCAGCCACACGTGGTTATTTCAATTGAAATTAATTAAAAGTTCAATAAAATTACAATTCAACTCCTCGATCACCCCAATCATATTCCAAGTGCTCGATAGCTACAAGTGGTGAGTGACTCCTTTTTGAGCAGTGTGGATATATATCTAACATTTCCATCATTATAGACTATATGTAAGCATTAACATGCACTGATTTGAAAACATCATTTGAAAAACTTCGTGGCAGAAAAATACTCCATTGAAAGAGGTGCCATCAATTAGCCATTTCCGTACAAGCATTTAAAAAGGCTACACAGCTAAACAACATTCTGGAAATGTATATGAGAAAGTCTTAATCTGTTAATTCTCACAAGTTTCAAAGAGTCTCATTTATCTGCACGTGGTGGTGCTGGCCTGTAATCCCAGTGGCTCCAGAGTCCCCCCCCCCCAAAAAAAAAAGAATATCATTCAAAAAACCAATATTGCCAATACGGTAGGAAACTCGATCTAAACTCTGTTTTAACAAATATTAGTATAAGTTATGAAAGGTTAATAAAATAGGTACTTGTCACTCCGTTTTTCTATATGCTTAACAAAACACTGTTGAAATCATAATAACTGTTTGCTAATCTTGTTCCCAGAATGAGCTGTCCCCAACTGCCAAACTACAAAATGTAACTTCTCTCCCTGCCCTCTCCAAGGAAAGTATATAAGCTCTGCTTAAGCTGTTCTCAGGGCTCTATCTCTCTTTGCTATAGTGAGCTCTGAGCTGTTGGGTCTCCAAATAAACCCTCCCTTCTGCTATTGCATAAGACAGTCTCTTGTGGTCTCTTCCTCCGAGTAGGACCCTTACAATTAAATAAAGACCCTATGAAATTTATTGCTTATCCTAAAGACATGGTCATTCAGGCATCCACAGACTTTTTCACATTGTGCAGCATCAGCAAATTGTTTCCTAGGTGTGTGTGTGTGGGGGGGGGAAGGCCACCTAATAGAGGGGCAGGGTGCGGAATGCAAACACGTGAGAAGAGGTGCCCAGAAGCATGAAGAGGGGAGTGAGTGTCGGAGGAGCTGGGAGAAAGCAGAGAACCTAGGTGGGGGTCCCAGGAGGGAGGAAGTAAGTGGCAGTGCTGGGTCTCACCTGGGGCTCCTTCGCTGGGTCGGCAGGGGGCGCGCGTGGCAGAGGGTCGGGCGATGGCAGCAATGGCTGAGGCGGCTGCCCTGCCCAGACACTGCCTCGGGCCCTGGCTCCCACAGCCCAGACCCAGAGAGGCCGGGCCGGGGTTCAGCCGCACCCTCTGCGCGTTTGTGAGCTGGCCCTGGGTCACTTGAGGATGGCCGCCGGGAGGCGCGGGGGCCCCCATTCAGTTCCCCAGGAGGGAGGTGCGCCGGCTGCCGGTTGCCGGTGGCGGACCCCAATGGCGCGTCAGAGTCCTCAGTTTGTTGACTGGAATCTCCCCGGAGACTCACAGCCCGCCCAGAAGAGGCCGATTTAGACAGTCTGAAGGGTAGCCCGGGCAGCAGGTTCTAACGCGCAGCCAGGACGCATGACCTTGCTCGGTCCTCAGGGTCCCGGGTTAAGCCACCCGAGCACGGCTTCGTGGGATTCGTCGCTGTCCCAGGTGCTTCAGGGGACGTTATCTTCCTGCCTGTTTGCGGAGTCTGCGAACATGATTAACAGCAGGCGGTGCAGGCACAGTGAAAATGACACCTAGTGACGCGGGACCCAGCTTTGCAGTCTGCAGCCGAACCTCACGGAGTCCACCCTCCTTTCTGTTGGTTACTTGGGAGTCACTCTTCAGGCACAGTCAGGCTTCCAAACCACAAACCCGCCTGAGGGCGAGCCGTCTGGGCGCTGGAATGACCGAGCACGCTCCTCTGGGGAGGTGAGCATCGTGCGGTGATTTAAAGGCATCCCTGAAACCTCGACGGTTTGGAGTTTGGGAAGCAGACCTGCCCTGGCGGCTTATTGGGGAGTGTGGGCCAGGAGAGGTGATTGCGCTTTGAAGAAGCTGCGCTGGTATTTGTGACCCTCCTTGTTCCCATCACCTAAACAGCTGGACAAGTCAGGGTTACAACAAGATTTAGTTCCAGCCCAATATAACCAGAATACAATATTCATCAGAAACATGTACCATGTGGAATAGGAGCATGTAATTGAAGAAGTATATATAGAGGTCTTAGGGGAAAAACTTAAAAAGGTTTTGTTTGATTACAAGATTAAATAAATGCGAGTTTTAGTATGAAAGAAATACTTTATTTTTTTATTTTATTTTTTTGTACCAGGGATTAAATCCAGGGGCGCTACCATTGAGCCATGCACTCAGCCCTTGCTCGGTCTTCAGGGTTCATTTAGATTAGAGACAGGGTCTAAGTTCCTTAGGGCCTCACTAAAATGCTGAGGCTGGCTTTGAACTTGCAATCCTCTTGCTTCAGTCTCCTGAGCCACTGGGATTATAGGTGCGCACCACAGAGCCCAACTGAAATAAAGTATTTTAAAGTGTCGCTTGAATTTAAATTTTTTTCATTTGAAGAATTGTGCATTTATCTATGATATGCAAATTCTATATTCAACGATGTTAGCATTAGAATAAAATGTGTATTTCCTATTTCCAGTTATATATGTGCGTATATATATATTTGTTTTAATTAGTTATATATGAAAGTAGAATGCATTTTGACCCATCATACATAAATGGAGTCTAATTTATTTGTCTGGTTGTACATGATGTAGAATTATACAGGTCATGTAATCATATACCCACATAGGGTAATAGTGTCTGATTCATTCTACTATCATTCTTACCCCCATCCTCCATCCCCCTTTAATCCCCTCTGTCTAGTCCAAATTACCTCTATTCTACCCCCTCTTATTGTGAATTAGCATCCACATATCAGAAAACATTCAGCCTTTGGTTCTTTGGGATTGGCTTATTTTGCTTAGAATAATATTCTCCAGCTCCATCCACTTACTGGCAAATGCCATAATTTCATTCTTCTTTAAGGATGAGTATTCCATTGTGTATATATACCACAGTTTCTTTACTCATTCATCTGTTGAAGGGCACTTGGTTTGGTTCCATAGTTTAGCTATTGTGACTTGAGCTGCTATAAACATTGATGTGGCTGTGTGTTCAAATTTTAAGTCCTATGGGTATAAATGTAGGAGTGGGATGATTGGTCAAATGGTGGTTCCATTGCAAGTTTTCTTAGGAATCTCCATACTGCTTTCCATAGTGGTTGCACCAATTTGCAGACCTACCAGAAATCAAAAACTCTTCTGAGATTCCATTTCACTCTAGTCAGAAGGGCAATCATCAAGAATACAAGCAACAATAAATGTTGGTGAGGATGTGGGGAAAAAGGTACATTCATACAATTACTGGTAGGACTGAATTTATATTTTTGATGAAAAGTAGAAATGAGCACATATCACTATCAACATTTCAAGGTGATGTTTAATATATTCTTAGTGTTAGGACACATAGGGTAATGGTGTCTGATTCATTCTACTATCATTCTTAGTGTTAGGACATCTTCAATGCCTCATTTAATTTTTGCTTTGCATTTGCAGAAGCCCTTGTTCTCTGCAGGGCAAGAGACTGTGCCTGGGCTGGTTGCTGCCACCTTGATAAAGAGACAGCCTTCCTTGTTAATAGGATTGTTGGCCCAAGGCTTTTCCTAGTCTTCTTTCCAGGCACCTCCAACTTGTTCTCAAATAATTTCTGGAGTCTGGATCACCATTATAGTTCACATCACCCCCAAATTTCAGTTTTGAATTTAAAGGTAAATAATGCAATTAATTTTGGAGAATTTATGAAATACAATGATACTTCCTTTTAGTATGCTATTCATGTGGATTGAATTTGCAAGGTTTTCATTTGCCTGAGTTGTCAATCTAACAAAACTTGGTAACTATTTGGAAATAAATATGTTAGTGTTCCAGAAGTCTGTGGATTATTATTACTATTTTTTTAAACAAAGGGCATTAAAAGCTGCTACTTAAGGTGCTTACCCCCTTTATTCAGGATAGGGAGAGGAGGGAAAAACCTTCTTAATCTTGATTTGGAAATCTGTATTACCCCCTTTAGAATACGAATAGCTTTTTTCCCTTTTCTTTTCACCTTTTACTCCTTTGTGTGTGTGTATTGTGTGTGTGTGTGTGTGTGTGTGTGTGTGTGTGTAATTGAACTCAGGGGCACTTAACCACTGAGACACATCCCTAGCACCCCCTCTCAGGCCCTATTTCTGTATTTTATTTAGAGACAGGGTCTCACTGAGTTGCTTAGCACCTTGCTGTTGCTAAGGCTGCCTTTGAACTCTTGATCCTCCTGCCTCAGTCTCCTGAGCTGCTGAGAGGAGTGAGCCACCATTCCTGGTTCACATTTTGCTCTTTTAAGAAAGAGCTTAAATACTAAGTTTATGACTTGTGGGATTATTGTTACCTAAGTATTGTCTCAAATTTTATTTAGAACTTGAAAGTAAAGTTTCAAAAATATTTTTGTCATGGTAACTCCTAAAATAGTGCTTAATCTATCTTGGAAACTTTCTATTTCTGAATCTTTCCTTGGTATATAATAATGTAAATGTGAAATGATGTATTCATTTTAATGACTGATTATAATTAAGGAAGGGGGAATGTTGTTAATTTTTAAACTATCATATTTTAAGTTTGATATAAGTTTAAACTTCTTTTTAAACTATCATATTTCATAAAATATTATCTGGTACATGAACAGTCATAAATTTAAAAATAGTGAATAACATGTAAGCCAAAGTTTTGATAAAATCCAACTTTTAATTACATAGTTAATTATTTGTTAGTGAATTGGCTGAAATAAAGACCTAGGCTGGTTTTTCTTTGTCTTAGTGGTTAGCTTGTACAAAACTAAATTTAATATTAATTGAATGCAAACAATCAAGAAAGGAAAGATGGCACATATTTTGACACTTGGGTAAGAATTATTCATTCATTTTTCTATCTGAAGATGATTTATCTTTTCAGGTTTTTTCCTTTCCATTGTCCTATAGATACATATTCAGTAATTACGAACAAAATCATCAGCATCTATAAAGTAACTGAGATACATGCTATTAAAACATCACATATTTTTAATCCCTAGCACCAAAAAAAAAAAAAATCACATAGCAGATTCCAAAAGTCAACAAACAATTTGCTAATTACTGGTTTGAGATTATACTTGCTGTATTTGCTCTTATAATGAGTTCATGGTTGTCCTAGTTTTCTAATAATAATACAATACCATGGACTGAGTGCATTATAAAGAAAAGAGATTTATTTTGGTTCATAGTCCAGGTCCAAGGTCAAGGGGACATACCTGGTAATGGCTTTGTTGGCAGAGTACTGAGGTGGGATGGAGCAAAATATGTAAGAGGTCTGGGTCTGTAGCTCAGTGGCAGAGTGCTTGCCTAGCAGGTGTGAGGCACTGGGTTCAATCTTTAGCATGGCATAAAAAACTAAACAAATAAAGGCATGCTGTCTATCTACAACTATAAAAAGATATGGGAGAAACAGGGAGCAAGCACATATTGTGTCTATGTTCAGGTCTCACAGCATCCCTTTGTTTTTGTACCAGGGATTGAACCCAGGGGCATTTAACCCCTCAGCCACATCCCAAGCTATTGGGATTACAGGTGTGCATTACCACACCTGGCTTGTTCCCTCTTCTTATAAAGCCATCAGTATTCAATTGGGGGGGCTTCATTGTGATGACTTCATCTAATTTTAATAATTTTCCATAGGCCCCACCTCTAAGCACCATAGTAGGATAAAGTTTCTGCCCTCCTTAATACCTCACAATGGAGATTAAATTGCAACAAGAGTTTTGGAGGGGACAAACCATATCAAAATCTTAGCAATGGCATGATTACATAATTCTGCAACAACTATATAATTTGCTATGCTCTGGGCAAGTTGTTTTAAAAATAATTGCTTTGTATATACTGCATTTTTAGCAGTAAAATTTTCCATTTTTATGGTACTATTACAAAACTCTCTTCCCCTTTCAATTGTAGGACATACAATTTACTTCCTAAGAAAGCAGGAGGAATTGTACCAGTTAAGCACTGTAAATGAGAAAATGGGAGCAACAGTTTCATCCCTAGGTTGTCCTCACAGGGGATCATCAGGTCAAAAGGAGTAAACATATTTTTAGACTGCTTTATCAGAAGATTGAACCAATTTTCAGTACTACTCAAAACACATTCTTCAGCATTGCCTCAGTCCTGTGCCATCGTTAACTTTAATTAATTTAATTGTATTATTCCTTACAATTTTAACTACTTCAATAAGGTCCTTCGGGCATTTTTGTTATCAAAGATTTCTATTTCCTCTTTTTTTTTTTTTTTTTTAAAGTTGTCGGCGTTTCTAAGCATACAGCTTCTCTGTTAATCTTTGACTAATCACTAAATAGAGTTTGGGAACTGACATCTATTTCTATTATATCTTTATGAATTTCTTCCAACCTTTATAGCAAGTTCTGATTCTTCCTAAAAATGTATTTTAAAACTTATGTAGAATTTCCTTTGATCAGTTTTGCCAATTTTGACACTATTTCAATCACCATCAGAATATTTTTCCTCTGCCCAAATTCTCTTACACTGCTTCTTCATATTCTGACATTCCCTTACTCTGACCCTTAATCTCTATTAACTACTATTTGCTTTCTAATGGATGCTCTGGCACACAACCTTTTGAGTCTGGCTTATTCAGTTGTCATAATCCCTTTGGACTTAATCCTTGTGTTAATCAATAGTATATTCCTTTATATTGTTAAATAATATTCCACTGTATGGATATAGCTAAGTTTATTCACTCACCCAAAAAAAGACATTAGGATTGTTTGCAGTTTGGAGTAGCTATGAATAATTATATTTCATAATGTAAAAATGTATTCTATAAACATTTGCATACAGATTTATATGTGAACATGTTTTGATTTTTGCATAAATACCTGG